GTACCAGGCATTGAACTCAGGACTTCGTGCTTGTGAAGCAGGTGGTGGAACCACTGAGCTAGACCCCCATCCCTCTTATTGCCTTTTCTTAATATCAGTGCTTGAAAAAGAGCTATGAGCACTGCTCTTCGGGGAAGAGGGTTTGGCCTAATGACCTGTTGTGAATTAATACCTACATATTTCCTTAAGTGAACTATACCTCTTCATGGTCATGGAAGGACAGATCACTGATGTCTTGCCTGCTTGCATAGGTCTAGGAGATCACTTGTTCACAAGAGTGGCTAACTTTTGGGTCTGTAGGCATCAGAGGGGTAGGATTAGGAGTAGTACAACTTTTATAATAATAAGGCCTCCTTCTTTAGGATTGTTTAAGAGTATGGCCTGATATTTGGCAAGCCATTTATCTGCTAATTGCAAGTAACCTTTAGTCTCAGAAGTCACTCAGACCTCAGGGGGAGTCAGAACTTTTAGTCTCTACCCTTTGGTTCCAGACACCCAAACCAGTTCCTCCCTTTCCTGATATGTAGAGGGAGAAGGGATTAAGTCAGGTATTTTATTATATTGTGCAGCAGTATACACCTGTTGGCTAAATTAGGTCAGGAAAACCTGGCACAGTCTCAAAAGATTACACAAGGGATGCTTGTGGGCTTATCAGGCTGCCGCCTCCTGCATGGGAAGCTGTTTTAAGTACCTGAGTCCTAGTTGTCTCTCTTTTTAGCTCCCAAGATGAGCCATAGGAAACCTCATGAACCATACCCTGCAGATTCCACTGAGTTTGCCACTAGGCTATATCCTTATCAATGGGAAAGGTTTGATCCTGCCAATTAAAAAAAAAAGATCAACTTATCTACTGTTGTGACATGTTTTGGATTAGCATGAACTAGGAAATTTTGAGAGATGGGTACAAAATGGCACTTTAAATTAGGCTATTTTTCGGTTAAACTTTCTGCTTAAAACATAGAAGGTGGAATAAAATCCCTTATGTTCAGGCCTTTGTGATCCTTTATCTCAGGATATGGCCTAGTGGCAAAGTCTGGAATCTGCAGGGCATGGTTCATGAGGTTTCACATAGCTTGTTTTGGAGTCTATAGAGGAAGACAACTATGTCTCAGGTCCTTAAGGTGGCTCTCCTGCAGAAGGAGGGGGCCTGATGAGCCCACAAAGTGTCCCTTTGAGACTCGAGTATTTACTAGATGGACATTTTGTGTGAAGCTAGAATGATGCTGGGATCTTTCATAGAAGCATAGGGATGTTGAACCACTTGATGGCTCTAACTAGAACTAGTTCTTGGATCCTTAATATGGCATCTAATGCAGAAGAAGACCCAATTTGAGCCTACAAATCATCCCTTATGAGACTCAAGTATTTACTAGACAGATATCTCTGTCCAGAGCTATGATGGTTGACATCAGTGTCTTTCATAGAAGCATAGAAGACTCTACTGAAGGTTTTTTGATTCCATACTGGAGTCCACTAACTCCTTTGGGAGAGGGAGTTGAACCTCTTGATAGCTCTACCTAGTCCTTTGAAACTTCCAGGAGATAAGGGTGGAGTCTCTCCACTGAAATTCCCTTAAGTGTTTTTGAGCCACTTAATGGCTTTATTTGAGCAGGGTGGAACCACTTGAGAAGTCTCTGGACTTCCTTAGGCATTTTGAGCCACTTGAAAAACAGTATGTTTTGCATTTACCCCATGGTAAAAGCTTTGGTCCTTTGTTTAAGGCAGTAGAGACAGAAACCTCTTTTAAAGTTTTTTACTGAGTTTATGATACATTTAGGTATACTTTAATAACATTCTCCATTGAGAATTTTATCTGTACATGATATATCTTGATTGTTATTTTTTTCCCATTCCCCTGCCCTCCCTTTAATCCCTCCACCCCTCATACATAAGCTATGTTTCCATTTTTACCTTCTTTCTTTCAATTTTTTTCTTCCCCCTGCCCCCGCCTTCCCCTTTCTCTTTAAATATTTTCTTCCTATTTCACAATACAATATCTGTTACACATTTTGGTCCTCATTTACACCTTCAGTTTCTCATACCAGAGAAATGATTTGGTATTTATACATGTGTACTTATTTATTTCATTTATAAGTATGGCTTCAGGGTGCATCCATTTAGCTATAAATGTCTCAAGTTTATCTTTCTTTATGGCTGAGTAGTTGTGTGTGTGTGTGTGTGTGTGTGTGTGTGTGTGTGTGTGTGTATTACCCACATCTTTATCCATTCACCAGTTGGTGGGCTCTTTCGGGCTATTTCCAAGATTTAGCTATTACAAACTGTATTACTATAAACATGGGTGTGCATATATTGCTGTGGTATGATGCTTTTAATTCTTTTGGGAACATACCCCACAGGGGAATAGCAGGATCAACTGCGACCTCTAATCTTAGTTTTTTGAGGAATTTCCACAGGGGTTGTACAGTCTACACTTCTACCAACAGTGAAGGATTCCTTCCTCCCGCCTCCTTGCCAACATTAATTATTGGTTGATTTCTTAATAGCAGCCATTCTTTTTGGAGTGAGTTGTAATCTCAGTGTTCTCACCTGCATCTCAAAAAACAAAAAAAGCAAAACCCTTTAAAATTGTAAGAATGACTCAGTCACTTGAGTTAAGCTTTACTAGCTGTTGTTCTTTTGTTCTGCTCAGGCCACTGGGCAAATGTTTCTAAATTACCTGCATTTTGTTAGAAGAAATAAGGGATTTAGCCTAATTGAAAAGGAGGAAACCTATGCATTCCCTAAAATCAGAGGTTTATCTCCTATCTCACAACGGTGAGAGTTTTCAGTGACTTTGAGGTCTCTTGAAGTCAAATGTGGTGGAACCCCTGTGGCTGATTCATGTGATGAACCAAAATGGAACTAAGATGAAATAATGCACTGAGAAAGAAAAGTCCTATCTAGGGGAAAAGTGCAGATGAGACTTTGAGCACAAAAAGGAGTAAACTGGGGTAGATGGCTACTCTGGCAGAATACCAAGTTACCAAGAGTTGTTTTCCCTCCAAAGAGTGAGAAAGCTGAACAAAATATCACAGTGAACAGGAAGATGAGGTCGTTTTAGAGAGAAACAAAAAATGTGCCCAAAGGGCCTAACCTGCTCTCCTGGCTGGCTAATCAGCCAGATAAGTTGGATTTTGAGGTGCTGGAGTTTCCTTTTGGAGGAGGTAGTTTCTAGGTTTTTTTCTATCCTGAGCAAATAATTAAGACAAGCACAAATGGTAGCAAAGTTTTATTAAGGCAGGAAAACTTTGAAAGAGGCTCTACAGTGAGTTTAGGTGAAGTAAAAGGTTAATTACACTCTATAGCAGTGAGGTGAACCTTTTATAGCTTTCAGTGATACAAACTGCCACTGTGGCACATGTCCACAGGTTTGCCACCACTGCCCCACAGCATGAGGGCAGACTATGGTGAAGAGGTGTAATAGCCTCAGATTTTATTTATATAATAGTATTTGGCTTTACTTTTCAAGTGTATGGGTGATTTAAATGACAAAAATTTTAATTCGGGTGTCAGAAAACCCTTTACATAAGTTCCAAATAGTAAATCATTTAGACTTTGCAGGCCTCACAATCTCAACCCACAACTGTTATAAAGAATCCATTTGTCAAAAATAGGGTTTGAAAGGAAAGTTATTCCAGTTAACAGGGACTAAAAATCAGGAAATTTTAGCAGCTAACTGGAAAAAGCCAAGCTTATCACATCCATGTGTCAATGGGCTGACATTGAGAGAGAGAGATAGTGGCAGTGAGCTGGGAGAGATTTCATATGTGAGTGGATAGATGAACACCAGAAGAGAGAGATACTAGGAACTAACTGGGAAAGGAATTAGGCTTATATAGGTATTAAAGGAATCTGGGGTAAAATGTTTACGACTTGGATTCCCAAGGATGATCTGCTTAAGTGTGTACATAATTTACTGTTCCTCTTAGTGCCAGGGGGTTGTAAAACCACATTTTGAGTCCATTTGTCCATTTATTGGGAAGCTGCTTTGTTTGTTGAAAGCAGCCTGTTTGTTTTTTCCTTTTGGTTTTGGGTAGGCCTGACAACAACCTTGCTGTTTTAGTGTAAGAGTAGCCACAGGGATACAAGTGTATGAGATAACTGAGCTCTAGTGAAACTTTACAGAAATGAGGGACCTATAGAATTTGGTGCATGGTTACACTACTTTTTTAAGTGCTATATTAAATATGTTATACATGCAATGCTAAAGTGAATGTGTCTTGAAATAATTTTTAAAAATCCAGTGGTTTAGAAAACTTTACTGTTTACCATTGATTTATCTTGAACTAAGCTCAGTTGTTACACAGTAGTCTCCTTTTAGCCATGATTTTGATTGCAATGGTTTCAGTTATCTATAGTCAGTCCAAAAGTATTAAATGGAAAATTTCAGAAATAAACAATTCATAAGGTTTAAATTGCATGCTATTCTGAGTAGTATGATAAAGTATCCTGTTATCCTTCTTTGTCCCACCTAATGTGAGATATTCCCTTTATGGTATAGTCATGCTGTAAATGCTACTTGCTTGACACTGTCATAGGATGATGATACAGGATTATGTGGAGTGACTGATCCTCCTGACAGATTGTCAGAAGGCTGGTAGTAGCATAATACTACAACACAATATCTGTGTCATTCAGCTCATTTTATTTCGGAGATAGCACATCATCTCACATCCTCATGAAGATAAGTATAGTACAATGAGATATTTTTAGAGAACACATTTGCATAATTTATTAAGTATGTATTATAACTTTTGTATTTTGTTATTCATCATTAATCTCTTATTGTGCCAATTTTATAAACTAAACTATCATAGTTATAGGAAAATAATGTATATATGTGCGTATATGTGTGTACACATGTATACACGTGATGCCATGGTTTTGGGCATCTGTTAGGTGTCTTAGAATATATTCCCCCACAGAAAAGGAGGAATTACTATAATTTCTTCCTCTTTAAAAGATAGCTGACACATTTGTATTGATCTTTCTTTTTATAGGATAAATATTCTTCTGGAGCAAATGGAGACACTACTAATAGAACTTCAGCTTCGTCAGGTATGTATTAGGGTAAAAAGGTGAAACTCATTTTAGATGAGTTTCACCTAAGGAACAAGGAGCAGACTGATGTGTGTGGTGGTGGTGATGTTGGTGGTGATGATGATGATGATGGTGATGGGGATCAAACTGAGAGTCTCATGTAGGTTAGGTGAGTGCTCTACCAGAGCTACATCCCAAGCCTATGATAGACGTAGAAAGTATTTAAAAATTTTTTCTAGTGAGAATTCATTCTAATGTGAGTATTTTGGGATAGGGTACTTCTTAGTTAAGAGTTGGAGAAAGAAGAGAAAGTATAGTGTTATAGACTGTCTTGATTTAGTAAGTTGCTATAAAACTTTTACCCAACTTAGAAGTTACATGTTTGGCTTCTATGTTGCTGGGGAATTGTGAAGGTTTCTGACAGAGTAGGATGTTGGACTGTGATGTTGTTGAAGCAAGTTCTAAAGATGGTGGTCAATTAAATAACAACTGTTCAAGCTTGACCTACTATATTATTAAGATATTATGAGTGTCTTTGGGATCAGAAAATTTAGGGGCTCTTAAGAATAAGAGAAATGAGTGTCGAGATAAAGAAGTCCTGTCTTTCCTGCTTCCGTCCAGCTCCTTTCTGCACTTGTTTCCCTGGGGCTTTTCTGCCCTTCACCACTTGCTTCCCACCTGGGTTGTCCAGCTGTAATATGTAGAGTTGATAAGGGTGCGAAGATGGGTGGAAGTGGTAGTGTCACAGAAGGAATTAGTACAGAGAGAGGTGCAGAATGGAAGTAAAATAGCAAAAAGTTTATTTTGTTGATGAAGGTCGATCACACATAAAAGCAGTGCCAGGATAGACCAAGTACTGGTCTATAGCTTTTCCTTTTAAAGGGTATTATAGCCATGATCTCATTTAAGCGTTTACATTTTATTTTCACAGTTTACATTGCTGATATACAAATCATGGTCACAAGACAGTTAAATTATAACCTAAATGTAGCATTTCTTTGTTGCTAGGGAGGTTTGCCTTTAAGATTATTCTAGCTATCTATTTTAGCCTAGAGGAAGGGGGTGTTCCTGGTTGACCTTTATAATCATGAGGTTTACAAAACTTTGGAGCTGGGGGTGTGTGTCTTGATGTGCGCTGTTACCTCAGGATGAGACCACATGTCTCACTTGGTGGTTAATGCCTTTGGTGTCTGTTAATTTTGAATTAAACAAAGCAAACTGCTGTTAGGGACAGCCGAAATCATTCTACATTGTGACATTTTATAGATTTTTTCTATTAAATTTTTCTCTATCAATAGGACTTGGGCTAGGAGATTGAAATTTTTTTGTGCCAGGGATTGAACTCAGGCCTTTTCATTTTCGAGGCAGGTGATGGGACCACTGAGCCAAATCCAGCCTAGGAGTTTAATTTTATGCATTAATCTTTAGTAAAGTCAAAAGCAGGCTGAAATGTGATCACTGCTGTAGTAGAAGACTTCTATGGTAAAATACGCATAATATTTACCATTTTAATAATTTAAAAATTTATGCGTATTTGTAATACAGAATCATGTTCATTTGGGGGAATTAGTATATGTATATACTATATGTTGATCATTTTCAATCTCTTTATACCTTTTCCCCTTTTTTCCCCTTTCCCTGATCCCCTTCTTCTTTTCTAAGAGTCTACCTTCTAGTTTCTTATATTCTCTCTTCTATCCATTTATTTATATTTTAGGTTTCTCATATAAGAAAATATGACATTTAATTTTCTGAGTGCCTACTTGAACATGGTTTCCAGTTCCATCCATTTTTTTCTGACAATGATATGATTTAGTTTTTCTTTATAACTGAATATTTTCACTGTCTATATATGTTACATTTTTAAAATTCATTCATCCATTGACAGGTACCTAGGCTATTTCTATAGTTTAACCATTATCAATTGCACATAGGTATGCATGTAGCACTATAATATATTGTCTTTAATTGTTTTGGTGCTGTACCCAGATGTGGTATAGCTGGGTCAGATATTCTATTTTTAATATGTTTAGGAGTCTCCATACTGATTTCCATAGTGATTGTACTAGTTTATATTTACACCAAAAATGTAGGACAGTTTAACCGTTTTTAAATGCATAGTTTAGTAACACTAAATACATTCACATTGCCCACTATCCATCACCCACTATTCATCTCTGGAACATTTTAATTTTCCCAAACAAATTCCATACCCATGCCTATTAAATATATCCCTATTCCTCTTCTCCCAGTTCTGGGAACAACTATTATACTGTCTATGAATTTGAGTTACTATGAATTTCATGAATATGATGAGTCTTTATAAGTTTGAGTTACTACTACTTTTCAGTATTGAGGATTGAACTCAGGACATTCACACTGTGCTACAACCTCAGACCTTTTATTATTTTTTATTTTGAAACTAGGTCTTGCTAAGTTGTCCTGTTTGGGCTTGAACATGTGGTCCTGCTGGCCTCGGCCTCCCAGAATGCTGGTTTAGAGGCATGTAACTGCCCAGCTCAAGTTACTATACCTTTTAAAGCTAACTAGTGTAGGGCTTAGTGCCATTTGTCATTTCTCTCATTAAAAATTAGGAGATGGGGTGAGGGGTAAGGGTAAAAAATGAGAACCAAGACCTGTCATGTAAAGGTACAAGATCCCAATGATGAATATAACTGTACTGTATGCCTAAAATGTACCAATAAACTCAATGAGGGGAAAAAAATAGGAGATGAAAATTGAAAATGTAGCTTAGTAGAAGAGCACTTGCCTAGTATTCACAAGGCCTTGGGTTCAAACCCAGTACCCCCCCCCCAATTTAGAAAAAAGAACAAAAAGGAAAATCAGAAACCAATTAGTAGATTAGCCAAACATTTTATAGTCAAGGAGCTGCTAGCTCACTAAAGAGTGACTTAAAATGAAAAAAAAAAATCTGTGGTAGGGTAGTTTTTAAAATGTGAAGGGAGTCTGAGAATAATTAGGTTAAAACAAGTGTACTTTCCAGGTGCATTTTAAGTAAATTTCTTAATAGAAGTTTATAATGAACCTTTGCTATTATCAAGATGCATTTATCTTTCACAAACATTTAAATATTACAACAGTGTTTGCAGAAGTCTTAGAATTGCACCTGCTAAAACTTCAGCAAAGTGCCAGTTTGCTTTGACAGTATGAACTCTGTGATGTAACTTGAAATGATCAAGAAAAACAAGTGGGTAAAAGTAATCTGTACTTTTTAAATGTCTTTTTGTATAGATGGCTGTGTCAGCAGGAAAAATGTTATGTTTGATGTATAAACAAAAGCCAATTTTTGTAAAGAAGTGAAATTTTAGGTCTGTAGTATATGAAAGAACACTGTTGCAGTGAAATATTTGGTGAAGTAATCACCAAATAAAATTCAAATTCTATCTTTCTGTTTTATTTTTTGCAATAGTAGGGCTCAAACTCAGGGCCTCACACATGCTACGCAAGTGCTGTACTGCTGAGCCACACCCAAGCACTAAGCTGGGACTTTTCTTAGCAGAAGATCTGTGAGTATTTAGGCTAATGGAATAAAATCAGAATGTACCAGGCTAATAAATGTGTCCTAAACAGATGACTAAATATACTTATTGCATAAAAATTAGAGAGAAGCAGAAAATAAAATTTTATGAAATCTTAACCTCTAGATTGTACCACCATTGACAGATTTTTTTTTTTAGATCTCTGTATCTTCCCACATACATAATTGTATTACACTGGTCTATTGGTAGATTTAATAGGCCTATCAAGTGCTTTATGCAATAAATTAAAAACTCTCCACATTGGGGTATGTAATTGTAAAATTTTCAAAACATACAAGTGAAATAATATTTAAAAAATTTTAGAAATGTTTAGAAAAGTAGCCATATACAAAGGATCAGGAATCAACATCATATCTGTTCATAGCATTACTAGTATTTCATATACAATCAGTACAAAATTCAGGATTAAAATTTTTCCTGACTTAAATTTTTTGGGTCAACATCAGATTCATTAATTTGAGTTATTAGTAAGTTGATTATCATAAATAGAGATTAAAAGACTAAGAGATGAAAAAGCATATGAAACACTCAAAACAATTATACCAAATCAGGTACACTTTCAGATACATTGTCTGTGATGGATTATAATAACTGTTTTTCCCCTTTTTTCCTGTAGTCTTTTATTTTGCACTTTATTTATATGTTGAGTTTCTCATGTTAAAGAAACCATGCAATATTTAAGTTTATGTGTCTGATTTACTTAATGGACTGAGGTACATCTATTTTTCTACAAATTACTTTAGTTTATCCTTCCTTATGTCATTATTCAGAAAGACTATGCCTTCTTTATTCATTTATCTGTTGGATATATAGGCTGTTTCCAAGATTGAGCTATTATGAATTTTTCTACTATAAACATGAGTTTGCATGTTATCACTGTGATATGATGTCTTTTAACTATTTCTAGATGATACCTAGAAGGGGAATAGTTATGTCAAAGGGATTTTCTATTTTTAGTTTTTTGAGGAATCTCTGTATTCATTTCTGTAATGGTTGTATCAGTTTACACTCCCACCAACAATGAAGAAGCATTCCTTTTTCCAAACAGTGTCTCTAGTATTTGTTATTGGTTATTTCTTGATAATAGCCATTCCTTCTGAAGTAAGGTGGAATCTCAGTGTTGTTTTAATTTGCATGTCTCAAATGGCCAGTGATATTGAACATTTTTTCATGTATTTCTTGGCTGTTTATATTTCATCATCTGAGAAGTGTCTATTCATTTCAGATGCCCAATTTTGATTGAGTTTTTAGGAATATATTTTATTTTTGTTTTTGTTTGATCCTGGGGATCAAACTCAGGACCTTGAGCTTGCAAGGCAGGTGCGGTGCTGCTAAGCTAAATCCCCGGCTTGATTGGGTTTTTAAATTTAGTGGATCTAATTTTTTTGAGTTGTTTGTATATTTTAGATATTAGCCCTTTGTCTGGAGGAGCTTCCCCAAATTTTTAATTGTTGGCAT